TTAAACATCAAACATCTAAAATTAAAAAACATCTTAATTGAAAAGTCTCATCCTCTTATTTCCAATTTAAACAGTTGAGGAGCTATTGTCGCCCCCTGCAGGCTGCACAGTTTGTTACAGCCACAGTCACAGCGAACAACTTCAGGATAAAAACTTCTCTGCTCTGCGAATTGAATGTGACTGTTTGGCGCCAGAGGAAAGACTTGTAACTGAGACATTTGTCCTCTAAAGAAACTAAATCTGAGGATCTGATGTGGATCAAAAAGAACTATAGAGGTGAAACGTGAGGGATTCTGGGTAAAATCTAAACTAAGTGAAGGAACATTAAACATGGCGATAGAAATTGTATATGGAGTAAAAGAAATATGTATTACTACATATATGTAAATTATACTTTCATTCCGACTGTCTCCTGACAGAAAAACTTTTATTGATGATGATGAGTGAGATTTTCTGACTGAGCTACTGAAACATTTAACGTGTGTGATGACTCCTCCCACTCTGCTGGTGGCGTTGGCGTGTTTGTTTTCTCAGAAAGATGTCAGAGTGGTCACACGTGTGTGCGTGTGGTCAGTTACATGTTCACATGGCACATCTGTTATGGTATTTTCATAGACACTGTCTCCACAACAACATCTGTATGAAGGTGAATGTTCCAGTTGTTCAGTCGAGGAAACTTGTGCAACGTGATTAATATTAGCTTCGTCATGAGCTAACTGCTAACAGCTAGCTTCAGCTTTTTCATAAAGGTCAAAGACGAGAATATGAAAAAGACATGGAGACGTTTTCTGCAGTAGGTGGACAGATGATCAGAGGACATGTTGTCAGTCCCACTATGTCCTCATTAAGTTGCAGCTGCAGCCCTGATATCTGTCTCACCACCAGGGGGCAGCCTGCAGGTGGTGCTGTATCCACTCCACATATTTGGTCACTCGGGTGTAAACTCCGTACACCCTCTGACTCCCACACTCCTCCGGCCCCCCCCAGGACACCAACCCCAATGCCATCCACCTCCGGCTGACCTCATCCTCCATCACAAAGGCCCCCCCACTGTCCCCCAGGCAGGTGTCCCTCCCACCCTCAAAGAACCCGGCACAGAACATGTTCTCCGTGATGTTGTAGCTGACGGACCGCGAAGCGTAACTGGCCTGACACTCGTCGTGAGAGACGACTGGCAGCTTCACGTACTGAAGGAGGTCAGAGGTCAGCGAGGGGGGGTCACCTAAGGATGAGGAGGAGGCGTTGGGAATGGAGATCCCCCACCCGGCGACGATCCCCAGAGAGTTCGGAACAGGTGAGGAGGGGTCGTCCTGACAGAGGGAGAGGTCAAAGGTCAATTCTTTAAAAAATGTTCAATTAAAATAAAAGATGGAAAATATCCTTGTGGATTTAAAATGTGTCCTTTCAAAAAAAAGTCTCAAATTCTAAAGATATTTAACTTTTCATTAGAACAACGTCCCTGGCCTTGAAAATGTGTCCAGCTTCAAAAAATGTTCCAAATGAAACAAAGACAAATAGAAAAATACAAAACAAAGTCCAAACATGAGAAGACCAAGTCTGGAACATCAAAATCTAAATATCATAATAATACTGACGATAAAAATTGATCGAGCAGAATCATGTCTTAAATGTCTCTGGTTCATCCTCACTCTGAGGAAGGACGTATCAAACGCACCTTATTATGAGGAGGTGGGAGACAGATTGGACGGATGACGTCGTTAAGCTCCACTCGGCTCGTCAGCTTCAACAGAGCGATGTCGTTGTTGTAGTTGTTGGGTTGGAAGTCTGGATGAAGGACAATCTGCTTCACTGAGCGATTAGAGGCCAGACGTTTGTCCCGGGCATCATGGAGACCGAGGAAGACCTGAGAGACAACACATCCCATAATACACCACAACTCACTGATTGGAAATATAAAACAGGAGAAAAATAAACAACTGAATGTTTCTGTGAGCTTATTTTGTAAATATCCATGTTCTGCTGAGAGTAAAAGGCCATCCATTGGTGATGAGTGGTATCGCAATAGAGCTGTTACACTAATATAATTATTTAAATAATAAAATCACAAATAAATATGTGATGTAAAAAAACGGCGGTCAGTTTCCTCTGACCTTGACATGTTCAGGCGCCACAGGGACGACACTGGTGTCCCTCCTCTGAGACCTCAGGACATGAGCTGCTGTCAGGACCCAGGAGTCGGAGAGAAGGGCCCCAGAGCCAAACCAGCGGTCCTCAGGGACCCGGGACAGATCCTCCACGCTGAGTAGGACATGCCAGGGGAAGAGGCCGGGCTCCGCACGACGCCCCCCGACAATCCGCTTCACATGAGGGGGCAGAGCACGGAACGGCCGGCCACAGGCTGGACGCACACATGGAAAGAAGGTAAATGTCAGTCATTTTATAAAAGACAAGAATTTACCGAACGTGAACTTCTATTCTAATTAAATTGCAAATATTTCATAAATATTTCATAAATACATGGGAGAAATAAAATGTTGTTTTCAGGTGGACAGAAGATGGCACCTGCGAGACAGCTTGGCAGTTTGGATCCTGATTCTGGATTTGTCCATTGTCCATTGTGTCCACAGCTGTAAGAAGCTAAAATACAAATAAAACTCAAACTGGATTAGAATCTGATTCCTGTTAGCATTCCCTGCTAATTTCTGTTATTGATGACTAAGACGATATATAATAAGATATACATTTATAAATATGATATTTAACAATAATCATATGGATCCTCACTGTTGCTGGTGTTCAGGTGAAATGTGTCCCCTCTACAGACGTAATGGACAGTTGAACCAAACAGTGTGCTGTTGTCACGGTTACCAAATACCACGTCAGCCATTTCGACCGCTTTGGGATTCCCACAATCCACCACTGTGACAGAAACAGATGTTTACAATGAGCTTTCAGTATGAACCAAGACCAAGGGCAAAACTAAGGGTAAACTTTAAGAATGAGAGAAATATTGAAAATACAGATTTTTATTGAATTTATTTTGTCGTACATTTGACTTCAAGTAAATTCAATGAAAACATTTCACAGAGAATTTCTCTTTTATGCTGATTAGTTTTGCTTTGACACTTTTAAAATGTTTGTAGATGCTGGAGCTCCGCCTCCTCATGGACTCTGTTTCCATGGAGACAGACGGAGAGTCTCAGTTGTTGACCCTATCAAAGGGGACGACAGATAATCAATCACACAGTGATTATTGATAATTGACCAGTCTCCTGTGCTGTCTCACTTTGACATTGAGGAGGACGACTGCTCCACGTTCCGTCAGATCCACAGTCGACCTGAAAATTGTCCAGAATGTCACCGTCCTGAAAACACATGAGATGAGTGTCCAACACTTTATATAACACCAGAGGAAACGATGTGTATATATAGTTTATGTAAATATATCATATACAGTCTGTATATGATATTTTATGAATATTGTATATATAAATATATTATATGTAGTATACATTTAAATGTAATATATTGTATGTAGATAAATATAGTATTTATATAAATACATTATATATAGTGTATATTTACATATATCATATGTAGTGTATGTATAAAAATATATACTGTGTGTATATAAACGTGTGTGAGTATACATGTGTCCTTAGTGTTATATAAGTGATGAGGTAAACACCTTCATCAGTTTGTATCCAGGTGAACAGGTGAACAGGACGTGGTCTTTGAAGAAGTATTCTGATTGGACGGGATTCATCACAGCGTTGGACGGGATCTCGGGGACTGGACACTGACTTCCTGTTATGTCAAAATAAAAGCATGTGAGTAAAATGTCTCCATAAAACACATTAGGTCACTGGTGGTTCACTGTGGTGGCGTATATAGATATGTGTAGTATATATGAACCGGTAGGCGTGTTTGATTACATATATATGTATACACACATATATATTTAAAAACCTGTGGCAGTGTACGTCATCTTCCAGCCCAGGTTTTCTCCAGAGTTGTCGCTGTGAAAAATAACGATGACGATGTTGCCGTCAGTCTGAATAATTCCTGGAGACAAAGATCCACAGAACGGACCGAACTGTGTACTTCCTGCTGTGATCTGACACACACACACACACACACACACACACACACACACACACAGAGAGAGCTGGTTACTGACCACTACACACTGTGTGTGTACAAGTGTGTGTGCACGTGTATGAGTGCTGCTCACACCTTGACGTAGTCGTACGGGCAGCGGACGTCGGGATGATCCTCTACATCAAAGCTGGGGTCAAACTGGAGGCGGAGCTTGAATCCAGGCTCCACCTCAATACGATACAAACACTCAGAGCTCTTTGGATATGGAGCAGGAAAATCTACGCTGCTCAAAATTCCAGAACGTTCCCTGAACACAACATCACTACACTCCACTGAACACAAAGAGAGAGAGAGTGAGAGAGACACACATTTATCAGACACTGAACGGACACACACACATTCACTCAGTAGTTGTGAGGACCTGGTTCCAACACACAGAACTCTGAGCCATCACACAGAGTCATGTGAGTGTGTGTTTGTGTGCGTGTCTGTGTGTGTCTGTGTGTGTGTGTGTGTGTGTGTGTGGTTTTAATCTACTGGAATTCTAATCTGCAGTGAAACAGTTCACATGTCAACATGTTTAATCGGATTATGTTTGTAATCTGCGACAAACAGTGAGAGTCGATCACAACATTCGCTCAGTTACGATCAGACTCTCAGCTGCTGCAACTCATCAATATTCAATAATTATGTTAATCAATAATAATAATTACTTTCATACATTAGATGTATTCACAGTAAAAAGTTATTTAAAATGTAAATATATTCATTGTAATGGAGTAAATGTTCTTAGTTACTTAGAGGGTTAGGATCAGAGGATTTGTGCCCTGCAGGCTCATGACCTTTTATGGGCATTGGTGAGGCGTCCCTATGCTAATTAGGGAACTTGTGAAGACATCCATCAGGACAAAGTCCACTGATGAGCTGACTTGGCTCACTCACCTTTGCAGGTGCGGTTGTCGGTGTGCAGCATGTAACCATAGCGACAGGAGCAGTAGTATCCCCCAATGTAGTTGTGACAAAAATGGTCACAGATCAGATCCTCGTCACTGCGCTCGCTGCACTCGTCCACATCTGGAGAGAGAGAGGAGGTAAGAACACAGCGTCACAGTCAACAGTCAGAGTCATGTGGGTTACAGATGTTAGCCCCTCCCACAGAACAGAAGACGTGTTTTTCAGACACGTCTGAAAATCAGTATGTTTATGTCAACATGTGCAGGTAAACACACATGACCTTGTGGTTTGTTGCCACATTCTCGTTCCAGAGAAACATTCCTACGGAGAACATGTGCTCCGTCTGTCTAAAAATCAGTCCAGATGTTTATAACATCCTCATCAATCAGTCCAGATGTTTATGACATGTCCATGAATCAGTCCAGATGTTCTCCAGATGTGACTCATCCTCACCCACTGCCCTGTAATGAGCCATGAAGCCAGAGTGTCGCTCCTCATTGGAGAAGTCGGAGGTAAAGACGACACTGAGCGAGTTTGTCGGGGAGGTGATGACCTGCTGATCTGGAACCGCCTCCGTGTCCGTCTGATCCCGCCCACAGAACAACCCCAGCAACTCCCCCTCAGCCTCCACCTGACGACAAACACAAGAACACGACAGACTGGCTAAGGGCTAGAGTAACCCTTGGATAAAAGAGGGTAAATGTGGACCAGTATCAGAAGCTCTAGGTAAGCAGGAGCCCTGGACCTGAATATCAGTAAGGAGACTCAACACAGGGATAACTTTGAATGAACATATATTCGAACATGTTAACTGAAGTTCAAAGTTGTTTGACAGTTACAATACAACATACAATTACTCCTAAAATCAAACAGTAAGATAATAAACATGAGACCCAATCGGTAGTGTCTGTTGCCATGGAGGAGGAAAACGAAGGCTTCAAAGATCCGTAGGTTGACTCATCATCCAGTTAACTGGAATCTCAATTCTTTGGCAGATGATTTCATGATTTCAGACAACAGAATCTCAGCTAAGCAGGATGTGTCATTGATTGACAGCTCGGTCCCTCCCCCTTATGGCTCAGTAACCTCACAGCAAGTTGTCCAATTGGCCTGTTACAGTGTCATACTACTACTCTCTCTACAGCACTTACATTTACATTTAGAGCATTTAGCAGACGCTTTTGTCCAAAGCGACTTACAATAAGTACATTTGTCACAAGAGAGAAACCACAACATACCTGCTGAAAGATTCTTTAAGTGCATAAGTGCTATGATTGAAGTGCTAATCATTCGAACAAACAAGTGCATACGGTTTTTTTGGGGGGGGTCATGCTATGCAGGGTCGAGGTGAAGTCTGAACAAATGAGTCTTGAGTCTTTTGCGGAAGATGGAAAGCGATTCCGCTGTCCTGACATTGGTCGTTCCACCACTGAGGTGAGTCGCAACTTTGCTGAACGGGCTTTGTTTGCTCTCAGCGATAGGGGTACCAGGCGGCCAGCTGATGTAGATGAGCATGTGCTCTCGCTGGGGCATGTGGTCTGACCAGTGTTTGGAGGTAGACGGGTGCAGTTCCATTGACGGCCTTGAAGGCCAGCACCGTCGTCTTGAATCAGATGCGGGCCCCAACAGGAAGCCAGTGGAGGTCACGAAGGAGGGGGGCCACATGGGAGAATTTGGGAAGATTGTAAACGAGGCGCGCTACAGCGTTCTGGTTACGCTGCAACGGTTTAGTCGCAGAGGCTGGGAGTCCAGCCAAGAGGGAGTTGCAGTAGTCCAGGCAGGAGATAACCAGCGCTTGGACCAGGTGTTGTGTTGCGTCTTTTGTGAGGAAACAACGGATCCTGCAGATGTTGTAGAGGGCAAACCTGCAGGATCGGCCACAGCAGTGATGTTGGGGGCGCAGGACAGTCCAGCGTCGAGGATTACGCCCAGGTTCCTTGCCGTCGACGAAGGTGATACCGTGACATCCTCGACAGTGACACTTACACAATATATAATATTGCAGCCTCAATAATTTATTTTCATTGCTGTTAGGGTTAGGTCTATTACAAACTAGATGAGATCAGAATGACGCCTTATTCTGTGACGATCGTCACAGAGGCGATCATGGACAATGACATCTATCGAGGTGAATGAGCAGAGGAGGAGTTTGTTAATGTGAACAACAGCTGGAACAGCTGTGAACATCGGGCCTCATTCACCAAACATTCTTAAGTAAGTTCTACTTAAAACCAATGTTTTAATATCTGGGATTTGTTCTAATGTAAGAACAGAATGTATACTGAGGAGAACTCTGACTCTGACAACTGAAATACTTCTGTAAAATAACACACACACACACACACACACACACACACCCACCACCCCGACACTCTGTCTGTGTTTTAACATTCTCTTCAGGCTCCAGTCACTCTTATCTTCCATTCACCACAGTTCAGTTTACACTGAGTGTCAGTGAACAGGAGGTCAGGACACACACACACACACACACACACACACACACACACACACACACACACACACACACACACACACACAGACACACACATTCATATTCAGATGTTGTCACCAGGCGTGACAGCAGCCCACTGCCAACAGAAAGGAGGTTGACTTCCCACACTGTCCTCAGAGAAACGTCTCGTCACTCTACTGATTACTGATGAGACGACGACGATCAGGAAGTAAAACATTTTGACTTTGATCTGTTTCTATCATTTCACTGACTCAGGGGCTCCTGGAGGGCAACTGTCTTCTTGGCCCAGTTGTCGGATGAATATCTCTGTATATAG